CGAAAATGAAAAGTAATACAACGGACGGGGACACACCTCCGCGATTGAACGAAAATATGTTCCTTTCAGTTGCCAAGCAGCTGAAATCCAAAGAAAGAAAGAAAAAGAGTGAATATTAATGCACCGGTAGGGAGTCGAACCCTAGCTCCACCTGGATCCGGCGATGACGCAGGAGGCAGGGTGTCCCGGACACCATCAGTGCGCGTGGGGATATGCTGAGAATATATGTGCCTGGCACACATTTTATTCACGAAGGACAATGGAGAATACCCTCGGCTGTGGCTAGGAAATCTGCGCTCTATCATTGAGCTCCGATTGAAGATGAAGAAGAATTTCAGCGGAAGAAGGCACGCAAAAAAAAACCTGAGAGAGTATCGGCATGCACACCAGCGGGGAGTCGAACCCCAGAATCCAACTTTCCGCATGGATTCACTCACAGGGTGCCCGGACACCACTGGTTCGGTAATCGTACCACTTGCTTCGCTGTTTTGCGGGCTCAAATTCCCTGCCACGCGACGAATGAAGCGAGCACGGGTGACGGAATGACAAAAAATTCATCCTTCTCACAATGGACGCATGCATCACTGGGAGTCGAACCCCGCTCTCCGCCAATATCGTTATCAAGGATTTCAACCATATGGCAGTGTGTCCCGGACACCAACGATGCGTTCTACGTACTGTACTCTCCTTCTTGAGTGCTCTGATTAATCGATGGCAGGCCTCCAATCATTCAGTATTATACAGGACGTTCAAGTTTACGATGTGTGCTAGAGTCCTTCTCAACAAGGGCAGATTGCCGTCGTACTCCTTGTTCAGAACTGCGTTTCATGGGGTGTTCCCCGCTCACTACCCGGCAAAAATCCGTTAGCCAGGTAGATGCGGCCCGGGACGGCGTCGAGCTTGAGGTGAGTTCACCCCACCTCCGCGCATTCCTTCCTTCGTTTTGGCGTAGAAGTCGTTCTCAACCGAGGTACATTCAGGAATGTTCAAAAGATCAATCGCACAGATTGGTTGAATAAGAACATGGTACACGCTCGATGGCGATCTGATAGGGAACGCAGCTTCAGGACCGAAGAGTTCAATGGGGGACAATATCCGAGGAAGCGCCGGCCGCGTGCATGTACGCTCCACGCACTAAGGGTGTTGCATCCACGACCGCTGCAAGGCTTCAATTGCACACATTCATTTGAAACACAGAACAAGAAGCAGAGGAACAAAAAAATCAGCTACTATATTGATACCATCGGTATGCGCGAGCGGGGAGTCGAACCCGCGCTCCGGCGAATCTCCAGTACGCTACAAGAGCCTGAGGCGGGGTGTCCCGGACACCACTGGCGCGTGCCTTTTATCCTCAAACTGTATTCTGGGGATACTTACGAAGCAGACGCCACGGCTGCGGGTTGTAGACTCAGCACGCCGTCGAGGTGGTATTAGGTACGGAGGTACCGCATGGGGGGATATTGGGGTTCTGGGCGGTGGGCGTCGTCGAGGGCATCCATCCATCCATCAAGCCGATTCGATGGCCCAGAGTTCGGGTTGTGCCAAAACTTGTGCCGTAATGCGGATTAGAGAATGGATTATTGAAAAATCGATCGGAGAGAGGCGGACCGAGAGATCATAAAATCAAACTCCGCTCGGCTGTAACTTGCCGAGATCATGAACCACAACATGGGATCCACGCGGCGTTGGCTTTTATGTGCACGACGATGGGTTTCTCAGGACTCGACCGTTCCCTTTTGTGTCTCCTTCGCCTTCGCCTTTCCCCGCGCTAGACGCCCTCCACCAGTTGGACCCTTTCATTTCGAACTTGAGTTCAGCCATCAGGAAAATCTGAAGTTGCATTATAGACCATGATAGACCAAAAAAGACATGAAAGCAGCCATAGCCGAGGGCTGTCTATGGTAGACAGGTGGGAGGGGGGTGCTTTGCTATATAGACAGTCATAGACTCGGCCAAGTCTATCATAGTCAGATAGACATGATAGCCAGCATAGTTCTCATAGTTCTCAAATATTACAAAGTATCGACAGTTCAATGGGAGGAAACCAAATATTATTTCAAAAAACAAGTATGTACATAGAGGGAACACCACCAGGAAAACCACGCCAGCTTTGAGACATTGATCTGGCTTGAATTCTTGAATTTGAGGAATTGAAGCACCCAAGAGCATCGAGACAGTGTGGGAGGTTGTCTTGCTGCAGCATCAAATCATAGTTGCAGCGGAGAATTGACGAATGGCTTGCGGGACGTTGCATTGATGGACTGCTGATCTTGATGTGACCCATTTTGATATTTGACGTGGATTGCGGCCCGACATTGTAGACAAGTGGAGGCTGAGCGGTGGCGCTCTCAGGGAAGGGAGAGGGCTGTGCGAGGACTTGGAGGATGTTGTAATGAAAGTCACCAAGGAGCCGGGGAGGCCAGGGCGCTGACTTGAGTTTGAGAAGTGCCTTGGGATCACAGCAGTCTTGAGAGCAGTTGAAGGAGAGTCCATTGGTGGGTGGTCTGGGCAGGCTTTGACAACGCGAGTGCCGGTAATGGGTGAATTGGATGGGGCGGGAGGTGGGGGTAGGGAAGAAAGAAGACGACGTGGCAAGATCAAACTTTGGTTGTGTTGTCAACGGGCGGTGTTCAGGACGCGATCGGCAAACTTTTTGCATGACAGATGCCGCCCGCTGAATGTAACTGTTTCCAAGTCGATTCAGGTCAAGTAGCTTGTACTCTAGTACATTCAAGAGTCGACTTGAATACTCAATGCCGGTGACTCGAGCTAGTAATTAATATATTGTGTTCAAATTGTTTCCCGAGTTTCAGAGGAGGGCCTACCACTACGGGATATTCGCGAATCATGATCATGGCACTCATTGAACCGTGAGAATGAATGTCGTGTACGGTGTAGTACTCAAAGTCCAACGAAATAGGTAGGTGATTTTGTGTCCAACAATCGTGTACTCCCGAGACTTAATAAGAAATTGAGAGACAATCATAGACCACCAGTATTCCGCCCTCAAATGCATAGACCACCAGAGACAGTCATAGACACTCATAGTAGGTCCTTCAGATCCAAAGACCTTCATAGACCACCAAAGACCCCCATAACTACCACTTGCACTTGATAGCATTTCGGATTTTCCTGATGGCTAGTCGTCCATCCACCTCCACCTTCCTCCCCGCCGGCACTCAATCAACCATGCGCCTCCCCACAACCTCCCTCCTCCTCCTCACCGCCTCCGCTACCACCACTGTCCTCGGCTCCCCCGTCCGAGTCCCAACATACATCCGGCGCGCCGCTGCAACCGTCGTCAAATGCGCGCCAGTAGACAAAGACGGCACACCACTCCTCAGCAGCTCCGTCGTCGAGCCGGGCGATTTCGCAGAGTGCACGTACAAGGACGCGGGGCTGTGCACGTATTTCGCTGGCGTGCGTCCCTCTTTTTGTCTCGTTTTGTTTTTTGGGATGAGCGCTGATTCCGCGCGCTCAGAACGGCTCCTTCTCCTCCGGCTCGAGCACCTGCCCCGCGGGCATCCCGCAGGACCTGGACTTTGAGGAGGGGATGACCACGTGCGTCTTTCTTCTTCCTTTCCTTCTCTTCCTTCCTTCCCTCTACTCTCCCGCCCAGCCATTTCGTCGTCCGAGTCTAACCAAATCTATGTACAGCGCGCAAACTAAAGCAACGCAAGCCCCTCCCCTACCGCCTCCGCCGCCTCCTCCCCCGAAAACGACAAAAGCGGTGCCCCCGCTGCCACGGAAGACGACGAGCACGATTACGAAGCACACGGAGACGACAACGGCGGCGCGGGCAGCGAAGACGACGCAGGCCGCGCAGACGACTGTGATCAAAGCCCCGCCGCCGTCGCCGCCGGCTCCCACAACGGCTCCCCCAGCAGCGCCAGCGCCTCCCATCTCTCCGCCTCCGCCTCCCCCAGCAGCACCCGCCGTCTCACCCAACCGCCTCTCCTTCGTGCTCCGGCCGCCTACTACAACTGCACCGGCACCGGGAGCGGGTGCGGGAGAGGCGAACGGCGCCACGGGCGTAGCGATCTCGCTTTCTTCTACGCCGACGACTACACCTGGTGGGGCTGGGGCTGAGAGTTTAGGGACGGGAACGGGACGAGCAACGGCGCCTCCCGGATGCGGGTGCGGGTGCGGGCTGGCCACGGGGTGGTGCTCGCTGCGCTCGGGGTTGGGCTGGTTGTGGTGCTCTGAGGGATTGGGATTCAGAAGACTCCGCGGCATTGCGTGTACGGTGCGCAGCGTCCAGGTGGACTTGTATTTGTATCGGACGCGCATCCATCCGTCCGTCCTTCCTTCCTTCGCTGGCCGCTCTGCGCTAACCTCGGTTCGGATTTTCGGTTCCATCAGCAAGTACGCACACGCACCAGTGATGTCCGGGACACGCCGCCTTCGAATTTGATGCTGATTTCTAAATTCAAGCGGAGTCGGGGTTCGACTCCCCGCTGGTGCATTTGCGAGTTCACCTCTTCTTTTTTTTTGAGTTGTGCGTTGTGCGTTTTTCGTCGGTCTCTCCTTCGTCGAATTTGTTTGGACTGGTTGGACGCACAAAAAGGGTGCACGCGCGAGACTAGGTGGGGAATTCCTCGAGTATCCCCCTCTTTGACTCCTCCTCTATATGCTTACGAGTTTCCTTGTAAATTCGGGGAGTAGATAAGTAACACCTAGTCCAGCAGACCTGTATGCACCGGTAGTGTCCGGGACACACTACCTTCGATTGTTCGCCCATTCGTCTCATTGGGCGGAGTCGGGGTTCGACTCCCCGCTGGTGCACTTCTCCAACAGTAGTGATTTTTTTTTGTTCGTCGGCCTCTCCTTCGTTTCGAGTTATTTTTCTGGTGTGGACGCACAAAACAAGGTTCGGGTGCCATACTATGAGATGAAGGATTCTTTTGGGATTCTTATATTCTCCCCTCCTCCAAAAGCTGTCAAAATTTATACACGGAAATTCCAGCAAGATATAATGCTGATTTTCAGCCTACGAATGCGCACCAGTGGTGTCCGGACACGCCGCCTTCGAATGTAGTTGCGACCCTCAGATTGAGGCAGAGTTGGGGTTCGACTCCCCGCTGGTGCATGTATCCTTTTCTCGAAATTATCTTTTTGAGTTGTGCATTTTCGTCGGCCTCTTCGTCTCGCACGGATGTTTTCTCTGATTTCAAGCGCGAGACCCCTCCTTGACACCTCCAAATGCTTTGAAATTCAAGCTTTCTGTGGTATATAATCCTGAGCTTCAATAAGGGTATACGCACCAGTAGTGTCTGGGACATGCTGCCCTCATGTACACGAATGGCAAAGATTCAGGTGGAGTCCGGGGTTCGACTCCCCGCTGGTGCACTGTGCAGCTAGTATTTACAGTGTTTTAATTTCTTTTTCGTGTTCTTCTTCTTATCGAATGAATGGTTTCAATTGAATGCTACATTGTGAATGCTACATTGAGGGATTCGTCATACACTTCCTCCCCTCTTCCATATGCTTTCTAGTTGACGCTTTCCGTGGTATATAATCCTGAGTTTCAGTCTGAATGTGCACCAGTAGTGTCTGGGACACACTGCCTTCCAATGTCGTGAGCATTGCATTCAGGCAGAGTCGGGGTTCGACTCCCCGCTGGCGCATTTCAAGGTTTACCGCTTCTTTTTTTTTTTGCGTTGTGCGCAGCGTAGCGAGACTATGAGGTGAGGAATTAGTCAAGTAAATTCTCCTTGACACCTCCAGCCAGATGCATTGGAATTCAAGCTTTCCGTGGCATATAATACGAGTCTCAGCATACAGTAAGTGCATCAGTCGTGTCCGGGACACGCCGCCTTCAAATCGTTCTCCTCGCAACCGGCGTCGGATTTGGCAGAGTCGGGGTTCGACTCCCCGCTGGTGCACTACTCCCTGTGTCGCTTCCCTTTTTGTGTTCTTTTCTTGTTCTTGTTGAAATTCTTCTTCGAGTTGAAGTTCCGAGTCTTCTGCTCCTTCGTCTCCAAGATTAGAATGTAAATTGCGAAAAAAAAGAGGAGATCAGCCCACATGAAAGCAAGAGCAAGACACGTTGAGGGATTCGTCAAGTACGGCTATCTTCCTCAACTCCTCCAGTAGCTTTGGAATTGAAGCTTTCCGTGATAAATTCGGGGAGCATATAATGCTGAGTTTCAGTAAGTGCATGCGCACTGGTTGTGTCGGGGACACCCTGCCTTTGAATACAGGGCGTCCAGCTGTTCAGGCGGAGTTGGGGTTCGACTCCCCGCTGGTGCACTGTACTGTTCAAAGTGTTTTCTTTTTCGTGTTCTTCTTCTTCGTTTCGAATGAATAGCTGCACTTGGAGGCGACATGGGATTCACCAAGTATACCCTTCTTCGACTCCTTTTGAACATGCATTACTTTCCGTGTAAATCAAAGGACCATATAATACTGAGTGTCAGTCTACGAATGCGCACCGGGAGTGTCTGGGACACGCTGCTTTTGAGTTTGAAAAGTTGCTCACCTCAGGCTACCTATATGACCAACCCCTAGGGATTAACTTTTCTCATGAGATAACTATCCCAAGGGGGTTGTAATTTAGGTGGGTGTCCCATATGGTATGGGATGTCCCATGTATGTGTATGGGATGTCCATGGGGTGTCCCACCACTATATATGGGACATCCCGCCCACCGAAGGCGGGCCCGAAAAATTTGCCTGGGATGTCCCATATGCTGTGGGATGCCCCATACCTGTCACGTCACGCCTTCCCGGCCAGGGCAGCCAAAATGGGTTTTTGGGCCGGTATTTGGGCCTGTTCGAGCACCCTTTTTCCTGTTCCATACAGCCTGTGCCCTGCATAGCAGCTGGCACTGATGCCGCGCATAGCGCGGCCAGAAAAAAAAACAGCTTTTGGGCTCTCTGTTTACTACCTTACATCAGGGGCATGCGGCCTGTGCACAGCCACAAAGTTTGGGCTTCCACTGGGTACCTTTGCCAGTAGATTGCAGCCCATATGCCATGCAAGCAAGAGTGGTCGCGGGCAGACATGCTGCTGTACTACGAGTTTCGCCACCCCGACCGCGGGGATGTTTTAGTGCACATTCCCAAGGACAGTACCCCTGTCTTCGTATCGGAGCAGGACCGCCAGCGGTATGAGTCGGAGATTTCGATTCACAGATTGGAGGACTTTTAACGATCTCCTATTTATATAATCGATGCTTTTCTGTAGCCCTTCCTGTCCTTCTGTACTATTGATGTGTCGTAGTTATTCTGCTTTCTCTCAAACACTTTCTGGTCGGCGCTCTTGTAGATCAAACAACAGACAACAAACGCTATCGTCCCAATTTAGTAACTAAGTTCATAATTACTATCATTTTGTTAATATCGCTGTCTCTTTGGGCCCATTGTAGGAAACATGTTCCCATTAATTTATGCAGACACTGTGGTCATGTGGATAGGTGAAAGGATATTAATGAATGCTCTGTTCGGCATCATAAAGTGAAGGTGCTCGTGTAAATAAAATAGGTGATAATATGGGATATCCCATGGTCATCACTGAAAATATGGGAAGTCCCATGTCGTGGCTGAACATATGGGAAGTCCCATGTCATGGCTGAACATATGGGAAGTCCCATGTCGTGGGTGAACATATGGGACGTCCCATGGTCATCACTGAAAAGATGGGATGTCCCATGTCCTGGGTGATGATGTGGGATGTCCCATGATCGGCGGTGAAGATATGGGATGTCCCATGGTTGTCATTGAAGATATGGGACATCCCACAGTGGGCATAAGGAGGATGGGATATCCCACAAAGAAAACCGCTTTTGTGGGACATCCCACCGTCAGAAACGGGAATTTGGGACATCCCTCAATGTGGGTGAATGTGGGAGATCCCACACAAACACAATGTGCCTGGGACCTCCCTATTATACCATGGCATGCCTGGGACATTTATGGGATCTCCGATGAGTAGTGGTGTTTAAATTATAGGTATGTCTCAATTTGATAAGGAATGGATAATATTGACTTATAATGACTTCCATATTTCCAGAGTCTATTAGCAACTTGTGAGTGTCATCCGTGATGCCAGACCACTCACAGACCCACATTCCCTCACCCAAACGAGAACTACACCTCCTGGAGCAGAGCAGAGATGAATGGGCAGAACTTCAAAAACTTGTTCTGTGATCATCAAGGGCACACTTGTGGTGCCATCCAGTAACGAGGCTGAAGTCGGGTGAATGACAAAGATTCATGAGTCTAGTTGATGAATGGATGAAAATGAATTTTATTTATTTTGAGGTGTTACGATCAGTAGCAGACTCAAAGGCCCAAACCTGCGAAGCACAGACCATTGACTAGGCAAATACAGTGGTCGAGCTTAAGTCAATGACTTGAATTACTCTACCACTTGCAACATCTGCGCCACGCAGGCCGCATGCCCCTGATGTAAGGTAGTAAACAGAGAGCCCAAAAGCTGTTTTTTTTTCTGGCCGCGCTATGCACGGCATCAGTGCCAGCTGCTATGCAGGGCACAGGCTGTATGGAACAGGAAAAAGGGTGCTCGAACAGGCCCAAATACCGGCCCAAAAACCCATTTTGGCTGCCCTGGCCGGGAAGGCGTGACGTGACAGGTATGGGGCATCCCACAGCATATGGGACATCCCAGGCAAATTTTTCGGGCCCGCCTTCAACGGGCGGGATGTCCCATATATAGTGGTGGGACACCCCATGGACATCCCATACCATATGGGACACCCACCTAAATTACAACCCCCTTGGGATAGTTATCTCATGAGAAAAGTTAATCCCTAGGGGTTGGTCATATAGGTAGCCTGAGGTGAGTTGCTCATGCAGGCGGAGCCGGGGTTCGACTCCCCGCTGGTGCACTGTGTTTCCTATATTGTCACCTTTTTGTGTTTTCTTTTTCGTGTTCTTCTTCTTCTTATTCGTATCGAATGAATGGTTGCCATTGGAATCGAAAGATTCATCAAGTATACCCCTCCTCGACTCCTCTTGAATTCGAGGAGCATATAATACTGAGTCTCAGTAAGCACGTACGCACCGGCGGTGTCCGGGACACCTCGCCTTCGGATTGAATAGTGTTGAGATATGGAGATTCAGGCGGAGCTGGGGTTCGACTCCCCGCTGGTGCACTTCTATATTACAGAGGGTTTCTTTTTTTTCCTTTTTCTTCTTCGTTGTCAGCTAGACTTTCGCGTCCTCTTGGTTTCACATGAATATTATAATGTTTGAACTGATTGAACGCAAGATTCGTCCGAAACGTGATGCTTTGCTTCCCGTGTATATACTAAATTCGAGGATTCCATGTAATGGATCCTGTGTTATTTCAGCTTATGCTAGAATGAGTAGAAATGTGAAGGCAGAGGTTGCTATAAAAAGGTGAATTTCAGTAAGCTCATGTGCACCAGTAGTGTCCGGGACACACCGCCCTCGAATGTCCAAAACATCTCCAACATTGGTTTCAGGCGGAGTTGGGGTTCGACTTCCCGCTGGTGCATAGCATGACATTTGCCAGTCGGCACATTTTTTTTTGTCTTCGTTTCAAATCTCTAGAGGCAGAATGTCGCCGCTCAATGCGAAGTGGAACGGTGAGAGTTTCCCTCCCTATCTTTCCTCCCCCCTCCCTCCCCTTTTGAACTGTCATTTTAAGTCACTCGTCGAAGTCGCAGGGCCGAGTCATTGAACCCAGCAGCAAATAATACAATGTGGTCCAAGTCCAAGGATACAGATATCTGCACCGGTAGTGTCAGGGACACTCCGCCTTAGAATCAGGTTGCCGCCTTCGGTTCAGGCGGAGCTGGGGTTCGACTCCCCGCTGGTGCATTATAATTTTCGAGTTACAGAATTTAATTTTTTATTCTACCGCTTCCCCTGAGCCATTCCGCGAATCTATAGACAAGATCAGGAGAGAGGAGTTGAGGGTCCAGGGTACTGTACAGGGAAAGTGTTTTGGTTGATAATGAATAAAGCTGAAGGTATTGTCCCTTCGCCTCCATCTATGTTCCTGCAATCATTGTTCAGATATTCAGACACTTGTGTGTAAGGTGCGTGGCGTCGACGAGTGGACCTGTATTGTATTTGTATTGGACGGGGATTCATCCTTCGCTGGCTCTTGCCGCTAAGTTATATTAACCCCATATGCGGATTCTGGGTCTCATCAGCAAGTTAGGGATCGGCACCGTAACCGTATACGGCATACGGCATACGGCTATACGGCATAGCCGTACCGTCCCGTAAGACTCTTACGGTTACGGGTACGGTACGGCTTATTTACAATGCGGGATTGAGCGCTCAGGTGTAGAAGTACCAGGTCAACAGAGCCTTGGGGAAGGTTAAAACCTCTGAATCTGCCATGCTTGATCCCACCCACCTTGTTCGGCACGTGGATCGGCACCCGTATGCGGCATCCGTAGCCGTAAATTTGCCGTACCGTACAGCCCAGGGTACGGCTACGGGCCGTAATTATTTACGGCCCGTATTTGTACGGGCCGGAACCGTATACGGTACGGTGCCGATCCCTACAGCAAGTACTATAGACATCTTACCGCGTGCGCGCCAGTGGTGTCCGGGACACGCCGCCTTCGAATAGTGAAGTTCCAGAATTCGGGCGGAGGTGGGGGTTCGACTCCCCGCTGGTGCACTTCGCATCTTCCCAAACTGTTTCTCTCTTTTATTTTGCCTTTTGCGTTTTTCGTTGCTCTCTTTCGTCTCGAATGTTTGCGCTGTGGACGCACAAAAAGTGCTCGCATGCAAGACTATGAAGTGAGACACACTGCGTTCCGGCCTCCCCTAGACTCAGACTCAGGTTAGGTACCTAGGCATATAGCTCTGGCCAGGTGACTAGACTTAGTCTGATTAGCTCTGGGTAGGTCTGCGTAGCTCTGAGTAGGTCTTTGGAGGTCTGTTGAGGTTAGTTTAGGTCAGTGTAGCTCTTTCTAGTCATCTATACAGAGGTGCCCCCAGCTGAATGTCTGGCCTTTTGTCAAATTTGGCCCATATTTTGACCATCTTTTTTGAACACTGGGTATGAATAGGCCGTCTAAATTTTAATAGAAAAAAAAATCAAAATGGCCTCAATGACCTATACAGATCAGTGCTGAGCTACACAGAGTCAGTCTATGTAATCTGTCACCAGGCTACACAGGGCTAGAGTCGGCTACACTCAGCTGTCCAAAATGTGAGTGTAGTGATCTAAACAGGGTCTGTGTAGTGATCTAGACCGATCTAGTCTGGCCTAGCCATAGCTACAATCCGCTGGCCAGACCTGAGTCCAGGGGTTAGCGGAACGCAGTGACATTCGTCAAGTATCCCCCTCCTTCACTCGTCCATATGCTTTGGAATTTAAGCTTTCCTTGTAAATTCCAGGAGCATATAATGAGTCTCACCATACAGTAAATGCACCGGTGGTGTCCGGGACACACCGCCTTTGAATAAGAATTCTGTGGTTGAATTCGGCGGAGTTGGGGTTCGACTCCCCGCTGGTGCACTGGGCTTCCGCGTATCGCTACCCTTTTTGTGTTTTCTTCTTGTTCTTGTTCACAGTCTCCCTATTCGTTATGAATGGATTGATATGCAAGACCAGGTTAGAAACTCGTCAAGTATACATACCCCTCCACTCCTCAAGAGTCAAGATGCATCGCTTTCCGCATGACCATGTAAATTCGAGGAGCAGCTACCACACATATGGAGTCGAAGGGTAAGGCATGCGCACCAGTGGTGTCTAGGACACGCCCCCTTCGAATTATGTTATACCAGGGACATTCGGGCGGAGATGGAATTCGACTCCCCCCGGTGGACTGACTGTGCATCTAATATCATGTTTTCTTTTTCGTCTTCTTCTTCATTCTCGAGTTGCACATTACATAGTTCCTTATAGACATCGAAATTTACTCGTACCGCGGTTTCAAATGAATGTTTGCACCGAATGGACACAAAAAACGTCGGATACTGGATGCTTTGTAAAAAAAAAGAATGTCAATTCGAGGAACTGGATTCAGAGTATAACGCATCGTCGGTGTCCGGGACACCCACCTATCGTTAGTCTTGTATGACGGCTTTGGCGCACAGCGGAGTTCAACTCCCTCAGCGATGCATTATGTCGATTGGCATTTTTTTACCTTCGAACTCTTAGGGAGTCGCTTTATGAATCGAGGGCGAAAAGAATGAATTCCGTCGTTGGTATGGTTTGAAGAACTACACAAGGGGCAGAGGAGCTGGTCCTGAGTTGGCGGGAATATTCCAAATTCGTACACAGTCATCGGACATGACCACGAGGATGCACCTCCTTAACATCGCAGAATATATTAAATAATACTTCTTCGATGGTTGGCGGAGGGCGGGGTTCGACTCCCTGTCGGTGCATGCGGAAGGTCCAGTATAGATTCTTTTTAAACCCGAATGTGCAACACCGTTCGAAAGTGCACCGAACCTGTCGACGGTACGGGCCCGTAGCCATTCCGTTGAAATAGGGTCCGAACTAGAAAGGCTGCCAAGCCCGAGAGCTCAAGATCTCGCGGAATTCGAATTTCAAAGAAGGATGTGAACGTGAAACGAACAAACTCCAGAGACAGATGGGCAATCGAGACATTGTTCGAAAGCTCGCCGACCCCATGACTAGGCGCTCGATAGGTGCCCCTCGAATTTCGGATTCCGCTGCTTGTCGAGGCACGAAGAAAAAAGTCAGGTCGGGGAGATACCAGAGCCTCATACGAATATAATGAGGATGAAGTCGATCATCATACCACTTACCTCCTGTGCGTCAAGTCGACGGACACGGTAACCGGGTAAGTTGTGTGGCATATCCCAAGGTCTGCAAAGAATCGGAATGCAGTGGTCAGTAGATATCAGCCCGTGCTTCGAACAATAGAATCCAACCACGAAGGGCTTCTCATCTTGAATCCGAGCAAGAGGTCGTTGCAATAGGACCGCAGAGTTCGAGTTATTAATGGAAGATCAAGTGAGTGAGTTCCACACGGAATCCTATTCAACGATAGTCTTGGCGCTGAATACCTAAAGGTTTGAGTTAGTATGAGTCAAGATAATCAGATAGTTGAACGGGTGACTTGGTGAAAACTGAGAACAGCGGACGAATGCAAGGTAGATCTGTATCAATGAGCAAGTAAGAAGCGAAGTAAGGTTAGTCATCATGCGCCGAGTCTCATCCCCCACGACGCACCACATCAAGTTCAAGTACGACCATAGTAAACAAATATGAGCCCGAGAAGAGCCGTATGAGAACGAACCGCTTGCGAGCCAGCGAGAATAGTAACATTGGAGCCATAGCAAGTAGCGGGCTAGCATAGTATCAGCATAAAAAGGCAAGTTCGTGCATCGGGCGAAGAACAGCAATAGTTTCGGTCTTGAGAAGCGAGCGCGAGTCGGCCGAGAAGCGTGACGCCATCCACAACCCCGCGGGACAGGAATAGACGATAGTTTCAGCGGAGCAGAGAGTCAGAGGGCGGCGCGTGCGAGGCAGAGCGAGAACGGGAGGATTGAAACCGGGTCGACGAAGTCGTCGAAAGTTGAACCGGCGTAAACGGCGTCAATGCATTTAGGAGCGTGATAGCGCGTTCGAGAGAGCTTTTTCAAAATAAAGAAAGCTTGTGACGCACCGGCATAACGGCAGCTTAAAGACAGAGTGTGATATTGAGAGGAGATTTGCTCCGAGGACAGAACGTGTAGGGTTGGTCAGAAGCCCGATGAGACGGAACATGCACTACTCGAGATGCCAAATGAGAGCAAAGGTCTCTCCCAGTTCAAAGGATATGAGTCATCGTCTGTCCCGCACCTTCTAACCTCTCCCGTTTTCACAAAATCGGTTTCCTGCTGTTCTTCGGGGTTGTACCTCTTGAGACGTTCCAGAGGCAACTTCTGTCGCTATATGGAGGACATTAAAGCGCAACAGATCAGCCCAGTATGCCGAAGACGTCGCTAGTGCGCAGAAATCGAGGTTTTAGGCGCAAGTGTATCCGGCGGAAGTGACAGGCCAATAGGGGCCAGAGAGAAAGAGCAAGCAGTCCAGAGTAGTATTGCTGAAAATCTTGGGGAAGACGGCGGCGGGGGTGCAGAGAGCGCGAAACCCGACATGGCGGTTCTCTGCAAATGGCGCCTGGGTGAGCGGGCCGCGGCTCATCCCGGCCCGCTCCACGTGGCAAGTCTCGCAAATCCTCAGTCCTGCTTCTCGCCATGATGCAGTCACCTCTCGCGGCTTTTTGTTTCGGTCCATCTTCTCTCGAACTGGTGCAAATCTCTTTCTGGGCTCACCTTGTGCTCCCTGTCTTGACTTCTCACTGTATCTTAGGCGCTGATAAATTTGACTCGTTGCTTCCGGTTGTCCGCTCTTCCTTGATCACTGTCTCGACGAGAAATGTAATGACGTCCTCGCGCTTCCGAGTTTTCGTTTTCTCCCGTGACCCGGTCATTGTTGCCATGTTCTTATCTGGGATTTTGAAGCAGCTTGTGTCCAGTCCAGCAAGGCATAGCTGCCAAGATCCTGTATCCAAAATAATCTAACACTGGCACAGACGTCAACCAACAACGACGAACGTAAGCTCAAATATACATGGATCCTGGTTAATCACTCGTAAATTCCCTCTTCGTAAATGTCAACGGAACACGGATCGGCCTGCCCAATACAAACACAATCAGCCAACAGTCATCGAAAACTCTAGGAAGCTGAATTTCAGTGAATGAAAATGAAAACACTCACGTCATCGTCAACCCCGGCTTCGAGTTCAACACCCTCGTCTTGCGCTCCTCGAACGTCTCGCCGGCGAACTGAGGTTCTTCCTTCACCGTCACCTTGTACTGCGACATGAGCATCGTAAGGATCGCGATGCCTTCCGTCTCGAAGAAACTTTCAAATGGTGAGGCGTGCGCCACGATTCTGAGGTGATAAAGATGTTTACCGACGTCCGATACAAGCGCGAGGTCCTTGGACGACGTTCAGAGACAACCGAAAGAAAAGAACAAAAAGAAGGAATCCACGTACCAGCACTAAACGGCAAGAATGCCTCCCTCGGCCAATCACCCAGGAACCTTTCTGGTTTGAATGACGACGGATCACTCCAGTAGCGAGCTACAGATCCGACGAAACATACCTCTCATTAGTGCTGCGCCAATGCCAGTTGGACATCAAAAAATAACACACGGTTGTAGTGCAGTCCGGGCGTGTGTATTGTGATGTACGTGCCTGTCGGGCATGGAATGGCAGTAGTGGCCCCATCGGAATTGCCGACGACAATGGATGTGTCCTCGGCAGACATTTTGGGGATGGAATTGACGGGCGGAAACATCCGGAGAGTCTCGTAGAAGACACTGTTTTCACCAAATGTTAGTCAAGAGATGCAACGTCCCAGGCAGTGGGAACGTACGCCATGGAATACTTGAAGGAATTCATCTCGTCATACGTCTAGGATGAGCAGTCATATTCGTAAGTACGAATGTATCCGGAAAACGACAAGCAACACACGGGTAGCCTGTTCCGATCGGGCATCAGGCTTTTGATCTCTTGGTATAAGCGATCCTGTTCCTCGGGATACAGAGCGAGCATCGCGAACGCGAAGCACAGAGTGTGGGCGGTTGTCTGCAGCAAAACATATCAGTATATCCTGACGTATAAACCGAAGGTCTAGCACCGACCTCATGTCCCTAGGCAATTAATTGCGTAAGAAGCCAGCATGAACACACAAATTGAACTCACAGCCAGAAGGAAGATGAAGATGTTCCCTACATATAGCATTAGTGTACATAGAAACGAGACTGCAGGTGTTGACGCACCAACGAGTTCACGATCGGACATTTGAGCACCACCGTCCTCAGCCTCCTCCTGGCTGGCATCCAAAAGTTGACTGAACAAGTCATACCGCTCCTCCTTCTTCTGAGACTCCCTTCGGGCTTTGATCATGTCGCACATGTATGCCTGCAAATAAGGGTGATGAATTATTTGGATGAGAAGACGTTGAAAAATCAAGAAGCCCACATCTAGTTCATTGAAGGCTGCCCTGACGTGTCGCAGATGTTTGGTGAGACCCATGGCCCAGGTAGGGACTATGAGCTTGGTGAAAGTCTCCGTAGAGACGGTGTGGAGTGCATCCTTGAACGACATCGTATAGCCCGGAGGTACAACTGTATCTTCCTTCCACGAGACCTTGCGACCAAAGCCCGCTACTCCGATGACGAAGAGCGCAATCTAACAGAGCAAAGTTAAAGCGAAATTCGGTAGGACAAAGCATGTACCCACAGGTAGAGTGATCTCAACACAGTGGTCAATGGTAACCTCTTCCGCGTTATTCCACCGGGTGTTGAACATATCGGCCATGATCTTCACGCTCTCGTCCCACACGAGTTTGTTGTTCTTCTCGGAGAATGCGGGAGCAGAAACCTTGCGGTACCTCTTCCACTCGTCACCTTCAGATGCGACGATGTTGCGTCCGAAGAAGACCAGCGCCCGGTACTGATGTACCGGCTTTGGGAATCGAGCGCGGGATAGGGTGACGTCCTACAGGAAATGATTTAGGAAAGCATGAACCGGGTGTCGCGTTTGGAACATACTTTGATAGCAGCTGCGTCGGTAAGCACGATGGCCTTTTCTGCACGAGGCCACGCGCTGACCTATTCATGTAAATGCCGACACAAAGTTTCCTGCGGCAGACATACATCGGTGATTCCGTCCCAGCCATGCTCCTCAAAGTCTAATAACTTGCCGGTAAATTCCAACCTGGCTCACGGAGCTGAAGCACTCACCTAGATGCTTCGTGGACCACCGCCTGTTACCACCGGCGCTCAGCCCACGAGTCCGAGGTAATGTATTACCCAGACTAAAACAGCTCAGTTGAAAGCATCGACAATGGAGAAGAAACACGCACACAGAGCTGGTGCTTAAAGCTTGTCTCAAGCCCGGATGGTTTCTTCAGAGATTCGGGTCAGAAAAACGGCTGCATGGTGTACAAGTAAGTGAGGCGTACCCTACACTCGCAACTGCTCTGTGGAACTCTAGAACGAGCTTTACTACATAGACCGCTAGGGCTGAGAGGCCGACGAAGATCGCTGTCTGCATGTCAGTAGAGGATAGCTCAAGGTTAGTAGTGAAGATGGACGTCGTTAGACACGATGAGAATTCTGGCACTCACGCCTATCATGCCTGGGAGTGGAATTGTGGAAACATGTTGAAACGTGAGAAGTGCCTTCTCGGCACGGGCGGGCTTCCGCCTACCTAATCGGGATAGCGGACCGAACTTCATGTCAACCTGCAAATTTGACCTATTCCCTCCAAGATTTGAGATTTGGGATCAGAATAGGGTGGTTTGTAGGTAAAATTTTCATTTCAGAAAAAACGGAGGTGGTTTGACCGTGGGAAAAAAAAGCGCGAAATTTGAGCCAAAACTTTCAAAAGTTTATATGTACAGTGGCTGTGAGCGGGGTCTGGGGCACCCATTTGGTTCATACTGTGTGATAAAACCTCTGATTGGCATCCCTGAGCTTATGAGATGGATGTTCGTTGATTTTGTACACCGAAAGGTATCGACACAGCCACCGGCTATTATCGGCTATCACCGGCCCGCCATCAAAAGCGCGAAATCGCTCCAGGAAAATAATAATTTTTGAATTTCAAAGTTCTGCTCCGGCGGATCTCTAGAGGGCCTTCCTACCGTACTATTTACACACTTCAATTGAAAATCAAGCAGGTTTTGAGTCACTAGTAACAATTTCCAAATCGGGACTCGGACTTGTCACGAAGTTCGGTCCGCTATCATACCACTTCGACATCGCCCTGTCATGAGCGGGATTAAACAGATGCGGCAGACACGCATCTTGAGTGCGGCACACCACATCCATCCGCGGCACTTCGCCATCATCGGCGGCACATTGCTGCCAAGCGGCAAGTGCGGCACACTATGTGCGGCACCTTCGCACACAACGCGTATCACTGGCAGATCGGCCCGTAATCGGCATCTTCCGGCAGCCTTTCGATCGAGGTAAAGTCCGCGCAAACACTTTGGGGGGAGGGTTTTGAGCATGTATTATGGAGTTATGGTGTAACTTGACAAAAGCTTCTGCATAGTTGGATGATCCCGAAAAGAAATATGTATATCCTTAATTTTGACGGTGAATGTGACCAGAGGAAGTAAGTTCCTGCAGGTAACAAGCAAGTAACAACGCCGCTACTTCTAGCCATCGAAAATATGATATCCTTTTGGGATCAGCTACAGCTTCTCTTCTCTTAAACACATGTTCTTCACCAATATTTTGCATGTCTCCCGAAGCCGGGAATGGCGCGAGAAGTCAGGGTGCGAGAACGTCAGCAGGGAATGGGTCGTCCTCCTGCCTCAAATACGACTCCGACGTTCATGTCAGCAGTCACCCTTGTGCCTTTCCAGAGATTATTGTCCAGTCAAGAATTAGCCCCGGATGAATATCACCTGCGCACCGTGGTACGAATCGTATAATCCACGGGGTACAAGTTGATTCCCCGCAACATCTTGGATGTCGAATCAGAGATCGTTTGACCCGATCACAAAGGCCATGGTTATCTCAGAGACAGGAAAAATGGAGGGAAGGTCAGAGAGGTGCTCACTGCGCTCTGCCGTTATCTTGCTGGTAATTGGGATTTCCCCGATGTGAACCATCAAGGATATGGGATCCTGCCACACTGTAACGGATCTGAGGAGAGTTGGGCCGGGCTCAGATTGTTAGATGGTAGCGGCTGATGGTGTTTGAGCGCTTTGAGCACGGACATGCCGAGCGGCGTAGTGGGCACATACCGAGCTCCGAGACTCCATCAGGGCGCAGGGCGCGTGGCAGCTGTCGACGACCGGGTTGGCAGCAAAATGTTTGGCAGAGTAGGCGGCTGGCGTTTAGACGCGCCCTCGACGCGTTTCGGCCGGGAGGGATGGGCTACAACGACGGATGGTGGTGGTAAGAGAGAGAGAGATTTGTTTGGGGCTTCCTCCCCCGACGCGGCCCACTTCACGGTGTGCCGCAGTTCAAAATGATGTGGCACATTGCCGTATTGGGCACGGGCCGCATGTGATACAATGTGCGACACCTGTGCCGCACTTGAACAGAGTGTGTCGCAGATCAGATGTGCTACGCCGCCGCATCTGTTACATCCTCGCTCTGCTCTCCCGCCTAGCCATTCCGTTGTCTAACCACCCAGAACTATATGCAGCGCGCAAACCAAAGCGACGCAAGCCCCTTCCCCTCCGCTTCCTCCGCCGCCGCCGAAAACAGGTGCACTGAACCTGTTGAAGGCACGGGCCCGCAAATGTTTTCAAGCACCGTCATTCCGTTGAAATATATCTGTAGGTTAGCCGAGTCCTATTCCTATTTGACGATAGTCTTAGCTTTGATTACTTCAAAATATAGTATGAATCGAGGATGACTCATTGTGGGTGGGCGAGGGCAAGAGGGTCTGCGTTAAGGCATTAGTAAGAGGCGAAGTACGGTTATTTATTTCCCACGACGCACTTGAAGTTCAAGTACGACTATTATAAGTAAACAAATATGGGTCCGAGAAGAACCAGATGAAGCTGTATGAGAACGAACCGCGTTCCGGGATAGGACACAGGGAGCTAGCGAGTAGAGTGAAAGTGTAGAAATAGCAAGTAGCTGGCGAGCATAGTCTCAGCATAAGAGGGCGAGTTCGGGCGTCGGGCGGAGAACTGAAATAGCTTCGCTTCTGAGAAGCGAACGCGCGGCCGAGCAGTGTGATGCCATCCACAAGCGCAGGACCGAGAGTCGAATCAGGGGTTGGATATGATATATACAGAACACAAATTTGAACTGAGGAAAGAATGTGTGGGGTAGCCAGAAGCACGGCAAACTGGAGCACGCACTACTCCGGATTCAGAATGAAAGCAAAGATCTTTCACGGATCCAGGGACATGAGTCGCCGTCTGTCCAGCACAACTTGCCACTCCCGTTTTCGCAAAATTCAAATTCCTGCCGTTCTTCGGGGTTGTATCGCTTCGAATCTTCCCAGAAGCAACTCGTGGCGCCACTTGTGAGACATAGAAACGTTATAGAATAGGCCAGTATCCCGAGGACGTCGCTAGCACAAGAAAATCGAGGTTTTGGCCCTTAAGCTTGGGTGCAAGTGTATCCGGCGGAAGTGACGGGAGGATCGGAGCCAAAGAGAGGACAACGAAAGACAACAGGGCAGAGTAGATTCACGTGAATTTTTGGGAAAACGGCTGTGGGGGTACAGAGAGCGCGAAAGTCAATATGACGGTTCTTTGCAAACGGCGCCTTCCCGTCTCGCTTCCGAATGGGGCGCGCGGGCCGAGGCTTATCCCGGCCCGTCCCACGTGGCACCTCTTGCGCGCAATTCCGCTCTGCTTCCCGCCATAATGCGCTCAACTATTACGGCTTTCCTGCCCTCGTTTCCGCTCATTTCTCTCTCTGGAACTGGTTCAAATCTCCTCCTTGGCTCATATTGTGCTATGACGTTTTGCGCTTCAAGATGTCGTTTTAAAACTTCCCGTCACCCGCTCATTTTTGCCCTCATATGCTCTTGTCTAGGAATTTACGCTAGAGCTTAAACGGCGTCGACTATGTGCGTCTTCCTTCGTTCCCTCTGCTCCCCCCCTATTTCTTTGTCCGAGTCTAACCACCAGAAATACATCTATATACAGCCTGAGCGCGCAAACGAAAGCAACGCTGCCGCCGAAAACGATTAAAGCCCCACCCCCGCCGCCCCCGCCACCGAAGACGACGAGCACGAGCACGAAGCACACGGAGACGACAACGGCGGCGCGGGCGGCGAAGACGACGACCACTGCGCCCGCACCTCCTCCGCCGCCGCCGCCAGCTACCACAACAAGCGCGCCGGAGACGAGTCTCACACCCGCACCCGCGCCTCCCCCAGCAGCGCCGAGCGATGTCTCACCCAACGCCCTCTCCTTCGTGCCCCGGCTGCCAGCAGCGAACGGCACCGCGGGCGTAGCGAGCGCGGCGCTCCTTTCGCCTTGCCCTTTCCCCACGCCTACACCTGGTGGAGCAGAGAGTTTAGGGAAGGGGAAGAGCAACGGCGCCTCCCGGATGGGGGTTGGGATCGGGAGGGCCCGGGTGCTTGTTTGTGCAATTGTTGTTGGGTTGGTTGTGGTGCTCTGAGGGATTGGGATTCAGAAGACCGCGGGATGTATGCATACTTATGTTCGGCGCGCGCTGTCAACGCCTGGACTTGTATCGTATTATATTTGTATCAGACGCGCATCCACCTTCGCTGACCCTGCGCTAACCTCATATGCAGAGTCTCGTTTCATCAGCAAGTAGCATGCGCACCAATGGTGTCCGGGACACCTCGCCTTCGAATATAGTTGCGGCCGTCAGATTGAGGCGGAGCTGGGGTTCGACTCCCCGTTGGTGCACTACTACCCGTGTCGCGACCTTTTTGTGTTTTCTTGTTCTTGTTGAAATTCTTCTTCGAGTTGAAGTTCCGAATGTTCCGCTCCTTCGTCTCCAGGAATGTAAATTGCAAAGAAGATAAGAGCAGTGCACATGCAAGCAAGAGCAAGACAAGCTGAGGGATTCATCAGGTATGGTGCCGTTCACTTAGTCACCACAATTTTGTGACAAGTGTTACTAGTCCCTCAGAAAAAGAGATTTCTCTTATCCCTCTTGCAAAAGTGCTCCTTTCAATGAGAGGAATCTTTTGCTAAGACAGATTTTCCATAACTTCAAAACTGAGGGAGTTATAAAATTGTTGACTAACCAATTTGGGACTATGCACAAAATAGCAATGTATGGCCCCCCAAACAGTTATTTAATCTTGTATGATTCATTCTCTGGCCTTTTTATGATTAAAACTGTGCTTTAAGATGAGATTTTCCATGAAACTTGGCAGACACTTCAACAACCAAAAGTTGAAGCTAAGTTGGATTTGGTCATGAATGTGGTCAAATGATACCAGGTAGTCAAGTGTTCAACTGTCTACAGCAGTTCTAGTTGGTCAGAAATGGTTCAAATTGCCTTTGAGCAGCATATATTGCATTGAAAAAAATTAAAATTTCTTGGGCCAAATTTGGGACTAGTCCAACTTTGGTGGTGACTAAGGGCCTGATCGGGTGCTCTGCCTAGCGAGGCAGACCCTGCCAAAATCAAAGCAGATGCCTTGATGTGGCAGGCATATGCCGTGATTTTGGCGGGTCTGCCTTCGGCAAGCAGAGCACCCGATCAGGGCCTAAGTAAACGGCACCATAGTGACTGTAAGTCGAAGTCGCACGTTCGAGTCATTAACCCAGCACCAACTACTAGTTATATGTGGTCCAAGGATACAAGTATCCGCACTAGTGGTGTCCGGGACACGCCGCCTTTGAATTTGGATTTTGACAGTCAAGATTCAGGCGGAGGTCGGGTTCGACTCCCTGCTGGTGTACTACACCACCAGGAACTTTTTTTTGGTTTGTGCGTTTGATTTTGGCGGTGTGGGCGCACAAAAAGGGCGCGCGCGCGAGACCACGAGATCAGGGATTCTTATATCCTCCAGACGAGCTTTAGGACCCGTGCCTTCGGCGCGGACACTCGCTGCGCTCGGTCCGCACCTTCGGCAGGGTCCACAGCTCGTTGGGGCTCCCGCCCCAAACCCCGCGGATTCTCAGTTTGCCAACGGCGGATTCCGAGTCCCCCGGTTCGCCCGACGGCCGATAAAACAGACTTCACGTGAAGACGTCCGTATAAGGAAAAAAAGCGTGACTTCCTGTCAAAGTCTTGTTTTCATGTATAGGATGCTTTGAAATTCAAGCTTTCCGTGGCATACATGACTGAGTTTCAGCATACATGTATAGTATTTTTTCGGCTTTTGGCATTTTTCGTCGGCCTCCCCTTCGTCGCTATTGTTTGCGCTGTGGACACACAAAAAAAGGTGCACAGGTGAGACTATGAGGTGAGGGATCCGTCAAGTATACCACTCCTTGACACCTCCGGATGAGCATATAATCCTGAGTCTCAGTCTACGAATGCGCATCAGTAGTGTCTGGGAAACGCCGCCTTCGAATTATACAGGTTCGAAAATTCAGGCAGAGGTTGGGGTTCGACTCCCCGCTGGTGCACTGCTCGACCACAGCAATCTTTTTTTGCATTGTGCGTTTTTCATCGCTCTCTTTTGTCTCGCATGGATGTGTGCACTATGGACGCACCAAAAAGGGCACACGCGCGAGACCAGGAATTCATCTCCTTGACATCTCCAGAATTTGAAGCCCTGAAAATTCACAGCGTTCCGTATAAATTCGTAAAATTGCCATTTATGGTAATCCGGCAACTGCCGGAGAATAAAATTTCACATTTTTTAGCCTATTTGGGCCGAAAAAGCTGGCCGTCACCGTCACCTATACCCAATAGGTTCAGTTCATGACCCCCCGTCACCCGTCACCTGAACCTACGGTCAAAATGCTACAGTACATCTTGGAGATGGAAACATAGTTTTGGGACACATCTGTTCAAAATGGAGACAACTTTGAGTAAAGTTACATATCCATAGATGTTCACACAACCTTGAACGGCAGTCCGTAATTTAAAGTTCCTTGGATTTTCCTTTACGCTAAAGGTCGATGATATTGATCAGAACAATGATCCGAGAACTCCGCTTCACTCCCAAAAGGGATATTTTGTGGTATTCGGCCTCCAGAGAACAGATAACGTGTATAATTCAGACAAATGTTTGTTCTGAAAGTCAATTTCAGTCACCTGTTTGATTATAAAAGGATTCACAAAGCCTATCAGGATTCGGGCAAGTCCTTCATCCGAAACCTCAAACTGCAACCTTTGTGTTGAGGTTCTCGCACATACGGCTCAGTTTGTCCATATAATATCTCCCAACATGATCTGCAACCCAAAATCACACATCCGAGAGATCTAAATACAGGCAGAACCGCGAAACGGGCGACAGAGGATGAATTGATCCCGGCCCGACAAACTCGGATTGATGCGACAGGTCCGGCAATCAATTCAAATTTGGGGTCAGATGTTAGCTGCTCGACAAGGATGTGAGCCGTTCAAAAGAGTTGCATCCAATTGGCAGATGTAAACTTTCTCAGAGTTGTCACCCAATCAGCCCGTCTAGATGTAAGTTGTCCGCAAAAACCCTGTAAAAATTTGCTAATTTTTGCACAGTATATCGCCCATATCCCACACTTCTCTATGTTGTGCCGCATCGATTTCCCAGCACCGGAGCCATGTGTTTTCAATATATCCAACCCGTACACTATCTTGAAAAAGGATATGCCGGCCGCCCGGTATGGTTGCAGACGGAACTTCGTGACAAACTTTTGTCCCGATTTGGGAATTGCTACTGTTCCTCTAATTTTAACTCAGGCATCATGTTATTGTGTGAATAGCACTATAAGAAGGTCCTCTACAGATCCCCCGGAGCGAAAGTGAATTCCACCCTGAGATGAATCCCATTGAATATTTCTGGGCTTGGGTGTCGGAAGCGGTGGTTCCGGGAGCGTTCTAACGGAACTTGGCAAAAAGCCAAGGACCTTGTTGATGAGGGACTTCGGCTCTGCCCCCTCCCAACCATCCGATGGTTCTATCGATGCGCACATCGCTATGCTAGTGTCTATCGCCTGGGTGCCACTGGACCGATTGCCGAGTTTGCTGTCAAGTTGTACCGGTCGCACCGCGGAGTGCGTGCAACTGAATTGGTTGATGCAACGGTGGAGTGGAAGGCCAGGGCAGAGGTGATGTCACGAGGGGTGGTGTTCGTCAAGGGCAAGGGAAAGCAGAAGGCTAAATAGGTACACTAATTTTCGAAATTTTCGCTCCAGATTTTGCGTTTTTTTTTCCCACGCTATGAAACCCCCCAATCTTTTTGAAACGAAAATTTTACATACAAACTATACCTACTTTCATGCCTAATCCTGAATCTAGAAGACCCTGGGTCAAAATTGCGGCTTGTCATGAAGTTCCGTCTGCAACCATAGTCAACGAGCAGATCTGAACCCGTCACCTCCAGGAACAGCGTCTTCCAACTTTACCTCACGATAAATGGTTGGTCCAAATTGAGACTGCGGAAACCAGGTATGTGGGCCAGCTACAGCTCGCTTAACCTCCTCCACGAGGGCCTCCGCCGAGTGAGCGCTCAAATCTTCACCTGCCGGCAAATCACTTAGCCCACGCATCATCAGGTCGCGGACAATCGGTATCCATAATTGTTTTGCGACAGTTATCGAGTGGGAAAATTTGTTAACCTACGAACGCATATGAGCATAGATGCTTTCGATCCATTGAACGAGACGTACCCGGGAAAGAGAGAGAATCGTATAGACGTCCGTGAGAGCAAGGACGTACAAGACGAGATCTGTAACTCCACGATCGAGCATTGCAGAAGCGAGTTGTAGCCTTCGTTCCTAGGCGCAAGTGTCGGAGGAAGGTGAAGGAGCAGTGCTGTATGCGCCTGTACCACGTGCGGCAGATGCTTATTCTCAGTGTGCCGACCTGCCGGCACAAGCGCTAGGCCTACTACCAATGTTGGCCAGTGCAACAGCAGGCACGTAGAAAGCAAGGAGCCTCGATCCGTAAGTAGCAGAGAAAGAAGAAGAAAAGATCAGATTAAAGCCACTAAATCTCTCTCTTTTCATAAAATTACGTGTCCCTCTGAAGCCTTCAAACCCCGCTCTTGGCTCTCCGCTCCTGTAAACCTTGCTGAGGTGGATAGCCGCCTGCGACCCGCCCGAACACTGGCATAGACGTCGACCAACAACGACGAACGTAAGCTCAAGTATACATATCCTGGTTAATCACTCGTAAATGCCCTCTTCGTAAATGTCAACGGAACACGGATCGGCCTGCCCAATACAAACACAATCAGCCAACAGTCATCGAAAACTCTAGGAAGCTGAATTTCAGTAAATGAAAATAAAAACACTCACGTCATCGTCACCCCCGGCTTCGAGTTCAATACCCTCGTCTTGCGCTCCTCGAACGTCTCTCCGGCGAACTGAGGTTCTTCCTTAACCGTCACCTTGTACTGCGACATGAGCATCGTAAGGATCGCGATGCCTCCCGTCTCGAAGAAACTTTCAAATGGTGAGGTGTGCGCCATGAGTCTGAGGTGATAAATATGTTTACCGACGTCCGATACAAGCGCGAGGTCCTTGCGATGTTCAGAGACAACCGAAAGAAAAGAACAAAAAGAAGGAATCCACGTACCAGCACTAAACGGCAAGAATGCCTCCCTCGGCCAATCATCCAGGAACCTTTCTGGTTTGAATGACGACGGATCACTCCAGTAGCGAGCTACAGATCCGACGAAACATGCCTCTCGTTAGTGCTGCGCCAATGCCAGTTGGACATCAGAAAATAACCTACGGTTGTAGTGCAGTCCGGGCGTGTGTATTGTGATGTACGTGCCTGTCGGGCATGGAATGGCAGTAGTGGCCCCATCGGAATTGCCGACGACAATGGATGTGTCCTCGGCAGACATTTTGGGGATGGAATTGACGGGCGGAAACATCCGGAGAGTCTCGTAGAAGACACTTTTTTCACCCAATGTCAGTCAAGAGAAGCAACGCCCCAGGCAGCGGGAGCGTACGCCGTGGAATACTTGAAGGAATTCATCTCGTCATACGTCTAGGATGAGCAGTCATATTCGTAAGTATACGAATGTATCTGGAAAACGACAAGCAACACACGGGTAGCCTGTTCCGATCGGGCATCAGGCTCTTGATCTCTTGGTATAAGCGATCTTGTTCCTCGGGGTACAGGGCGAGCATCGCGAACGTGAAGCACAGAGTGTGGGCGGTTGTCTGCAGCAAAACATATCAGTATGTTCTGACGTATAGACCGAAGGTCCAGCACCGACCTCATGTCCCTAGGCAATTGATTGCGTAAGAATCAAGCAGGAACACACAAATTGAACTCACAGCCAGAAGGAAGATGAAGATGTTCCCTACATATAGCATTAGCGTACATAGAAACGAGACTGCAGGTGTTGACGCACCAACGAGTTCACGATCGGACATTTGAGCACCACCGTCCTCAGCCCCCTCCTGGCTCGCGTCCAAAAGTTGACTGAACAAGTCATACCGCTCCTCCTTCTTCTCGGACTCCCTTCGGGCTTTGATCATGTCGAACATGTACGCCTGAAAATAAGGGTGATGAATTAGTTGGATGAGAAGACGTTCAAAAATCAAGAAGCCCACATGTAGTTCATTGAAGGCTGCCCTGACGTGTCGCAGATGTTTGGTGAGACCCATGGCCCAGGTAGGGACTATGAGCTTCGTGAAAGTCTCCATAGAGACGGTGTGGAGTGCGTCCTTGAACGACATCGTATAGCCCGGAGGTACAACTGTATCTTCCTTCCACGAGACCTTGCGACCAAAGCCCGCTACTCCGATGACGAACAGCGCAATCTAACAGAACAGAGTTAAAGCGAGATTCACTAGGACGAAGAATATACCCACAGGTACAGTGATCTCAACACAGTGGTCAATGGTAACCTCATCCGCGTTATTCCACCGGGTGTTGAACATATCGGCCATGATCTTCACGCTCTCGTCCCACACGAGCTTGTTGTTCTTCTCGGAGAATGCGGGAGCAGAAACCTTGCGGTACCTCTTCCACTCGTCGCCTTCCGATGCGACGATGTTGCGTCCGAAGAAGACCAGCGCCCCGTACTGATGTATCGGCTTTGGGAATCGAGCGCGGGATAGGGTGACATCCTACGAAATGATTGAGGAAAACATGAACCGGGTGTCGTTTGGAACATACTTTGATAGCAGCTGCGTCGGCAAGTATGATGCACTTTTGTGCACGAGGCCACGCGCTGACCTATTCATGTAAATGCCGACACAAAGTTTCCTGCTGCAGACATACATCGGTGATTCCGTCCCAGCCATGCTCCTCAAAGTCTAATAACTTGCCGGTAAATTCCAGCCTGGCTCAGGGAGCTGAAGCACTCACCTAGATGCTTCGTGGTCCACGGCCTGTTACGACCGGCGCTCAGCCCACGAATCCGAGGCAATGTATTACCCAGACTGAAACAGCTCAATTGAGAGCATCGACAACGGAGAAGAAACACGCACACAGAGCTGGTGCTTAAAGCTTGTCT